TGCAATTTACGCACTTTTTGTGAGAAATAATAAAAGAAAACAATTTTTCGTGGTTAAAATCATTTCTACAGCTTCACATCCCCTAAAAATTTACATCCCCTTAAATATTGAGGTTAATAAATTAAAATTTATTAACTATTATATAATACACATGTTAATAAAAATAAAAAAACCCGTTGAAACAATAAAATGGGCTCTTGACGCAGAGCCATTGTACACCGGTGTATATTAACACCTCAGCTTAAAAAAAAGATATTTTCTTTTCCAATTGTCAGTTGGTCAAAAATTGCATGAAAGAAAAACTTCCTTATAATTGGCCAAATCGTCTTTTAAATACAGTTAAAGTTTGTATTTGGAATTACTTGACCAGAGGTGGGGAACATTTCTTAGAAAATAATAATAATAATAAAAAGAATTATTTTATTTGTTTGATATATATTTGAAAATATAGAGTTTTTTTTTAATTTTTAAATATTAAGGTTAATAAATTAAAATTTATTAACTATTACATAATACACATGGTAATAAAAATAAAAAATCCGTTGGAAGGATGAAATGAGCTTTCGGTGCAGAGCCATTGTACACCGGTGTAAGTTAACACCTCAGCGCAAAGAAAAGCATTTTTTTTTACTTTCATCAATAATTCTTTAATGACCATGTTTAAATGACCTTGCTGATAACGAGTCACACTTTCACACTGAATAAAACGCACTGCACTTCATTCTGATCTTTGGAGAGGCAGAGAAATGCCAGGCAGTTCCTCACTCGCTGTNTGAATAAAACGCACTGCACTTCATTCTGATCGTTGGAGAGGCAGAGAAATGCCAGGCAGTTCCTCACTCGCTGTGGTCAGCACCAGCAGGAGACCAGGTCATTCTGGTACAAAAAATAATGCGTCGGATGGAAATAGAACTTTAGCAAACTATTTGCTGATAACAAATCGCAATTTTACACGGGATAAAACGCACTGTAGCTCATTCTGATCGTTGGAGAGGCAGAGAAACGCCAGGCAGTTCCTCATTCGATGAGTGAATTCAATTTTGCATGGAGTTCGTTCGACACCAAGATTAAAAAGACAGGCGACAGCGGTTGAAAATGAAAAGTGAGCGATACCAAAAATTCTGAGTGAATTCTCGTTCCACTCGTAAATCGAAGTAGAAGTTTAGAAGACAAAATTCTGCCCCGCAAAACGCAGATGAGGTTTTTCCCTGACATCTGTTAATAATACAGGTAGATGCGATTCGATTGTCACCGTGGTTGGCATTCAAAGACTGAAAATGGGTCCAGCCTGCACAAATCTAGGAATCTTGTTGAACAATTGAAACAGTTGAAAAATTTCAAAAAATGAAACCTCCGAACGATATGATCCAGTCGGTGTACAGAAAAAATATCTAATGGGCAGCAATCTGACTGCCACATACGTTGATTTTTCTGGATGATCTTGTCGAATTGGAATAATCTATGGCTAATAACGCGAATGCATTTCATGTTAAATGGCAAACCATTTCTCCCAGAGAATTCAGCGATTAGTGTCGATGTGGACATCTTCTAGCGTTTGGGAATTGATAGCGACCTAGGTGTTATTATACGGTGGGGTACAATATTTTGTGCGCATATTGGAAAACGTATCAGCTTTTCATTGTATCATTTTTATCGTTTTCAAAACCATTTCACTGATCATGGCCGATGGACAACACACGGAAAACTATCTCAATTGACTCATAGTTGGCCATGATGTTTTTCTAGGCATTAATTGATACTTATGTAAAGAAAGTGTACAAAAATTTACACTATGTGTTAATAGACGCTGATCCATAGTGTAACTACGAATTATAATAATTTTTTCGATTATTTGCAAATGTTCATCGTTTTTAAAACCATTTCACCGATCATGGCCGATCAAGATGTGATTGAATTACAATAACTGACTACAAAGCTGAATACTAATCATGATTTGTCAGGTGGTTTAAAGAAAGATGCGAATGTAGAAAAAAAAGCTTCATACGACTTAAATGGTTTGTAGTTATATTATATATCAGTGTATATTAACACCTGTCTCTCTGTGTTTTGTTTTGCTTATTTCGTTGACATCAGTGCGAATTAATACTTCGAAATACATCATGGATGGTCAACAATTTATTGAGATTGTCCTCTAAAGGTCGGTCAACAGTCAACAAACTGATTAAAGAATCGACATTTCGAGTTGATATATGTAATCAGTTGCTCCCAAGGGCTTACTCCCCCTTCCCCCCACTCAGCCACCCATCCTATGGCTAAAATTCAACTGATTCGAGTCCAGTTGGGGAAAGACTCCCCCCTGCCCCCACTCCGGCACCCAACCAATGGCTAAAATTCAACTCACGCTTCGATCACATTAGTCCACAAAGAAGGGAATGCGGTTGGCTAAAACTAAGCAACCGGCGCTGGTACCTAGCAACTTGTTGGTTCCATGACGCTATTTACTATGGCTACGTGGGCCTCCACGGTCAGATGTTGGATTACACACCACCTAGAAGGCTACGCAGTGCTAATGACAGGACTGATACGCTGACTGTTCAAAACTGGCAGACGGCAGCTTAT